CAGGCTGTTCCTCTGCGCTGCACGGAACCACAGCTGCCAGTGGGGCAGGAAGGACAGAGTGCCAGCTGCCCCCAGAGCCCAGATCCCACCCTTGTTCAGATCACAGCTTGGTTTGTCACTGCTCCATCCACTTTGGAGGCAGGAGATCCCAGGTCTCCATCCCAGCATCCACATTCCCACACGAGGAGAGAAGGACCCTCCGCTTTTCTCCTCCCACACACTGCCACCTCAGCAGGGTCCAGCAATAGCCAAAGCATCCCCAGTTCCTCCCAAATACTATGGAGACAGGGATATTTTTAGTAAGTGAAAGATTTAAATTTATCACCTGCTTGGAAAATATTTCTCCTGCAGAAAATGTCTCCATAAGGATCACCTCTCCACCCAGAGCTGCTCTCTCTGCCTCCCTGGGAGCACTGGGCCAGTCCAGCAGACTTGGTCTGCAGCTGAGGGTTTGCATTAGTTTGACAGATTCTCTCAATTATCTGATATTTCTGGCTCAAATTTAAGAGAGGAGATGTATCAAGTTTCCCTCTCCTTTCCTCACTGATTTCATGAACTGAAATAGCTGAATTGCATTGGTATCTGTCAGGTGTTATTCATGGCTCTGATAATTTTGGATAATGTGTGAATTAAAAAAATTATACAAAAAATCCGTCAGTTCATTTTACTCAAAAATGACATAACTGGAAGCAAACATATTACAGCACACTAAAATATATCATACTTTATATAAAGAGGTTGCAAAGGACAAAAATCAGCTGTGCAGTTCACCCCCAACAACCTTTGCGTACCGGGGACCCTTTAGGAAAACTTTCAGTCCCAAACTATTAGTCCCGAATGCAACCCTTTGCAAGGCCACACAGGTCTCACAGGTATCAACTTCCCAATCTTTTGGAGAGCAAAAGGAACCAAAACACATCTCCATCTCCAGTGCAGCCCTTGGCTCTGCACTGCCTACCCCAGGCTGATGCTGGGAGTGCCAATGGTGCTGACATCCCTTTCTATCCCTGCAAACTTAAGAAGTATTTCGGTGCTCAGAAGAATTTTCTTAACGTGTCTCCAGGCTTTTCAAAACTCACCAGAGGGTTTGAAAGTCACTTTACTCACTGCTGTAGCTCCTCAGTTTCTGAACTTTGTCCAAACACATCCCCTCCTCTTCCATTCTTCCTCTCCTAAAGTAACAGTTTTCTCAGCTGTCAAAGTACTCCATTCCAAAGGCAATCCCAATTAGTTTTATGCCAGACTCCACTGATGGGTGCTTTTTAGCTGCAGGGAGGCATCTTGCATGACCTCTATCCCATTAGCAGCTCCACCAGCAGCTCTCAGTGCAGTCATAGACCTGTCTATAAAGGCAGTCAAATGCAAGTTTGCTGGCAGACCTTTCCATTCCCCACTCCCCATGACTCAAAAAGGCTCACAGAGGTAAGATGTCCCTGCAGGTACTTGGAAGAGGAAGGGCAGCTCTGTCCTTGCAGGGGAATTCAACCAGGTCAAGGTAAGGTCTCCCACAGACACCTTCATGTCAACTGTCCTGCTGCAAGTCTGGCAAACCTGTGGATCTTTTACAACCACCAAGACAAAAATGCCTTCATCCAAATTCTAAACAAGTATCTTTATGGCATCTCTGCCCAAGAAAATGCTCAGAGGGCTGGAGAACCTCTGCTATAGAGACAGGCTGAGAGAGCTGGGGTTGTTCAGCTTGGAGAAGACAAGACTCTGGGGACAACTCAGAGCCCCTTCTAGTACCTGAAGAGGCTCCAAGAGAGCTGGAGAGGAAGTTGTGACAAGGGCATGGTGTGACAGGACAAGGGTTAATGGCTTCAAACTGAAAGAGGGCAGATATACACTAGATATTAGGAAGAAGTTCTTCCCTGTGAGGGTGAGGCCCTGGCACAGGTTGCTCTGTGGCTGCCCCATCCTGGAAGTGTTCAAGGCCAGACTGGATGGAGCTTGGAGCAACCTGGTCTAGTGGAAGGTTTTCCTGTCATGGCAGAGGGGTTGGAACTAGATGAGCTTTAAGGTCTGTTCCCATCCAAACCATTTTATGGTTCTGTGATTCTACAATATGATTTTTTCTATTTGATTTGGGGCACTATGACTTAATTAATTCTTACCTGCTTTTGCATCCAATTCTGGTTTTGTCTTTTTTTTGTGTGTGTGTTTAAAAATGTCCCCAGGAGTGATACAGCAGGATGCACTGGAAGTCAGTGGCTATGCAGCCTCCTCCTGGAGCAAAAACAGAGGGTTATCACATAAAGGAAAAAAAAAATCATATGCATAAACACACATATATGTACACACAGAGAAAGAATTCCTTAATGCTGCAGAACATTGACAATCATACTTAAAATCACCAGGGACCACAGCTTGTTTTTCTGAGGACTGCTCAGAAAAGCAGCCATAACTCCACAGTAACTCCTGAACCAGAGAAAGTCCACAGTGGCTTTGCCCTTGAAAACTGTAGTTTAAATACACTTCAGAAAAGCCATGATTTCAAACTCATGTCCTTGCTGTCAACTGCTATTTCATTCATGGAATTACCATTCATTCTGAACTGCACAGCTCCCAACACGCCGTCAGAAAAAGAAATAAGCACATGAAAATCAGAAGTCTGTAGTTAAATTTTATTTATCAGTTCTATTGTTAAATTACACAATCAAAGTCAGTGGATTGGCCTGTAAATCTACACAATAAGACAGCGTCTACGGTGGAAATCAGTAGAATTTGATATGGTTATGACAAAATGGTATCCTTATATTCGTACATCCCCTATATACAATAAACAGTATACACAAAGAAAATGCAACTAGTCTCTGTAAACCATGCACACCACAGCATAAAAACAAGATGCACCTCCTGCAACAGGCCTCCAGCTCGCCCACAGTTAAGTCCTGTTTACAGCAGTGCCTTTCAGTTTTATTTTCCCCCGTAAAAACCAAAATACAACCGAGACATCATATTGACAACTGCAGTTCTCATTTAAAAAAAAAAATAAATTGCTGTACATGAAGTTATTCTCTTCTCGAAGCTGCTAACGCAGGGTATTGGTTTGCTGCTGCTTTGCTCTCTGCTTGCCCCCGGCAGGATTTCTGCCCCTGGGCTGCCACACAACATCAGATGGAAAACGGCTTCCAAGTAACTTAGGCGTGGAGCCGTAAGATTGTTTTAAAGCCTTCTGCCTCATCTTCTGCCCCCCTGCCTTCATAGTGTATAGAGTATTACAGGTGAAAGGCAATAGTGCAAGTGAGCCTTGTAAGCATCGTGTCCACGGGGACACAGAGGGCCCTTTCCCGGTGCCTCCATCTGCGCACCCGCTCCGGGATCTCCGTTCAGTGCCAAGCTTGGGAGCGCTGCAGGCTGTGTATGGATTTTCTGAACTTGCTGAATGTCTAGCCCAAGCCTTGCAGAGGTTTTTTATTTTTTTTGCATAGAGATTTATAGGAGCCCCTTGTACTACCTGCCCCGTCTGCTCTCCCTGTCGGTCTGGGTGAGGCCGGAGGGCTGCGGGTGAGCCCGGCCCGGCTCCAGCTCTGCACCCTGTGTCCCAGCAAAGCCTGCTCGGGAGCAGGCTGCTGCACCCCAGGCATCACAACACCTTCTCATCCCATGTAACTATGGCTATGGTAAAATTGGCTTCCATCATTTTCAGTCCTCGCTCATCTGTCATTGCTAAGAAGGGCTCAAGAGCATAGGAAAAAAAAAAAAGCCCTGTTCTTATCTGGTGTAGCAAAGATTTACTGGAAGTAAATCCTAATTCAAGTGTAAATCTACTTCCATTAAGCAATTCTCTTCATAATATTGCTGGGATTAGAGAGTTTTATGACTTTTTAAAGACACTACACAAATATCCGCAACATAATTTCATCTAGTTTATACCACCAATTATTAAGGAATGATAAATTCAGCATTATGTATTCTAATGGGTAAGAAAGACTTAAAATGAGACACTGTCACAGGATTATAATTTAGAATAGGCTTTATGAAATTTTCCCCCGTAAAAACCAAAATACAACCGAGACATCATATTGACAACTGCAGTTCTCATTTAAAAAAAAAAATAAATTGCTGTACATGAAGTTATTCTCTTCTCGAAGCTGCTAACGCAGGGTATTGGTTTGCTGCTGCTTTGCTCTCTGCTTGCCCCCGGCAGGATTTCTGCCCCTGGGCTGCCACACAACATCAGATGGAAAACGGCTTCCAAGTAACTTAGGCGTGGAGCCGTAAGATTGTTTTAAAGCCTTCTGCCTCATCTTCTGCCCCCCTGCCTTCATAGTGTATAGAGTATTACAGGTGAAAGGCAATAGTGCAAGTGAGCCTTGTAAGCATCGTGTCCACGGGGACACAGAGGGCCCTTTCCCGGTGCCTCCATCTGCGCACCCGCTCCGGGATCTCCGTTCAGTGCCAAGCTCGGGAGCGCTGCAGGCTGTGTATGGATTTTCTGAACTTGCTGAATGTCTAGCCCAAGCCTTGCAGAGGTTTTTTATTTTTTTTGCATAGAGATTTATAGGAGCCCCTTGTACTACCTGCCCCGTCTGCTCTCCCTGTCGGTCTGGGTGAGGCCGGAGGGCTGCGGGTGAGCCCGGCCCGGCTCCAGCTCTGCACCCTGTGTCCCAGCAAAGCCTGCTCGGGAGCAGGCTGCTGCACCCCAGGCATCACAACACCTTCTCATCCCATGTAACTATGGCTATGGTAAAATTGGCTTCCATCATTTTCAGTCCTCGCTCATCTGTCATTGCTAAGAAGGGCTCAAGAGCATAGGAAAAAAAAAAAAGCCCTGTTCTTATCTGGTGTAGCAAAGATTTACTGGAAGTAAATCCTAATTCAAGTGTAAATCTACTTCCATTAAGCAATTCTCTTCATAATATTGCTGGGATTAGAGAGTTTTATGACTTTTTAAAGACACTACACAAATATCCGCAACATAATTTCATCTAGTTTATACCACCAATTATTAAGGAATGATAAATTCAGCATTATGTATTCTAATGGGTAAGAAAGACTTAAAATGAGACACTGTCACAGGATTATAATTTAGAATAGGCTTTATGAAACAAACATGAGAGTGTGCTGCAACTTTTCCAGAATGGTTAAAATCATACTGCCCTGAAAAAGTCTCAAAACAGTGTCTATAACATTGGCATTGAGTTCAGAAAACTATGTATGATTTTTTTTTCCTTTTTTTTTAATATGAGATAGATCAAGCTTAAAACTCTAAACAGCAGTAGGTAGAAAAAGTTTAAAATTTTAAATATTTATATAACTAGAGAAATTACTTCTATTCATTTTAAAAGCCAATATTATACATAAAACTAGTCAATAATTTTTCTAGACCTTTACTGTTCTCTTCATTGTCCATTCATTAACTTGGTAAATATCATAAGCAGTTGGTGCCCTTGAAAACACATTGTTAAAATAAAGATAAAATCAAAGGGAAAAGGTTTTGCTCGTATACTGTATTGGGAGAGTATGCTAAATGCTCGTTATTAGGACATGAGTTTGCTTCCCAGATAGATTTCAGCCGAGCATCATAAACATTTTCCAGCATCCCATTTTGTACTCATAGCTAATTTAAGGATAATTTTTTTCTTTCTTTTCTTTTAAATAAATGTCCAAGCAAACATTTCCGATGAGCCGACTTGGCTCCCGTATTTCATAAATAATCCAACAAACCTAAAAAGGACAATTTAATTACACGCTAAGATTAAGTGTTCCACGTACAGTACAACATTTACTGCAAAGGCAACTGCAAAGGCAACATTTTTAACCTCTTTTTGCTTCGGACCCTCAAGAAGCGTCGTTTGTCGTCTCCGATTTGCAGGTTGGGGTTGGGTCCCGCTTCGTTTTGGTGCCCGGCGAGTGCCCCCCACTACCGCCGCCACCGCTCCACGTTCCCTATGTAGTCAGTGCTGGAGCTGTTCTCTCCCTGCTCCCTCAGGTGTGCCTGCTTTGCCCGCAGGATCTTCCGCTGCTCCTGGCGTTTCCGCCGCGCCTCCTGGTGCTCCTTCTGCCTCATGTACTGGTACCGCTGCAAAAACAGGTCTTTTGCATAATCGTACAATTCCATGTCTAAAAAATTGAGGGCCTCGATGCGCTGCTGAGTCTGCTTGTCTATCTCCACGCTGGAGGCCCTTGTGCTATTGTACTGCGTGAACGGCGAGATGAAGTTCATGTTGAAAGTCTTCTCAAAGAGATACTGAGTCTTGCGCTGGAATTCGGTCAGCCCGAAGAAGGCCATGCGCTTCAGGTTCTCCTTGGCACTGTCCAGCAGAACCTTATTTCTCTGCTCCTCAGGCATGACTGACAGATTGTAGCATCCCACCAGGCTGAGGTCGGAGAGCATGCGGACCTGGCGGTTGTTGGCCAGGTTGTAGGGGCAATCCATGAACTCCTGCAGGGAACAGCCCGACCAGTCGTCCCCCGTGTAGCAGCTGGGCAGCTCCTCGGTGGTCGGGGACCGGCCATCACAGACATGCAGGGACGCCTTCCACGTCGCTCCTCGCTGGACGTGCCGCCATTCGCTCAGGTATCGGGAGACGGGGTCACGCAGGATGGTGATATAGTAGAAATTCCTGCCAGGGGGAAAGGAAAACAGAGTGTTTAGTCCCGTGTGTCTCCAGCACACAGCGAATTAACGTTCAAAATCAATAGGAACCCAGAGATGCACTTAAGAGGCTTTCCGGAGCCCTGCCGCAGAGTGCTCCTCCGTGCGCTCACCTCTGCAGGGTGAAGGATGGCTGAACAAATTCCTGGGGGGAGTGGGAAGGTTGTTATGTACCTGCACACACACAGCTAACTCTGTTTAACAGGTGTTGCCTCTACAAAGGTGAGGGGAACCCAAAATTTCCCTCTGTGCTGGGCTGCCCGTGTGGCAACATGCTCCTGCTGGTGTCCCAGTTGATGCTCTCCCCAGACCTTGGAGAATAATCAAAGTATCTCCCAGGATGTAAGCCCCAACCCAAGCAGGACACAGGTAGCTCTGGCTCTTTTAATACAGGACTGCAACGATGAGAGAGGAGAGCTAAGTGACTAACAGGAAAATAAAGGATGCATTGCAGCATTTTGTAAGAGAAAAGGTTTCCAAGGGAGGTGCTGGCTTTGGTTTGGAGCAACAGGATGGTGGCACATGCAGGGCACGTGCTGCCTCAGGGAACCCATCAGCTGGAAAAGTTGCAAGTTCAACCATAGGTATAGCATTAAGAGCTCACTCTGGGTTACATATTAATATCCACCATCAAACACCATGTTGTCCACTGTCACAGCCTAAAGTCATGCAAAGGACATGCTTTTTGCACCTTCACTAACACGACCATGGCCTCAGCAATGGTGCTGGAGGAACACTGCCAGGATACCAGCTACCTGCTTAAGTAAATAGAATTAAAGTAGCTCAATAAGCAAATTGTCCTGCCAGGGAAGGCCACTCCTCCAGTACAAGGACACTGAGGAGTGCGTGCCCAGGAGCCCTGAGCCCTTGGGGTGTGATTGTCGTGTCCTTGGTGCCGTGTAAGGAGAAGAAGGATATTCATTTGCTTTCCCAAGTGGCATCATGACTGGCCATCCCTCAGTCAACCTTTTGTTCCCTATCGCTTCCTTCAGCAGAAAAGCCACTAGATGTCAATGTTTTACAGAAAATTGTCTCTGGGTGGACTAAAAAATGAATCGCAAGCACAAAAAGGATCCAAAAGCACAGGGGAAAGGAAAGCTGGAGAGTCACCATTCCTCTTCCTACTTAGAACATCCACACTCATAAATAATTGAGTAAGTAGAAAATACAATAAACATGCAAAACCAAATAAAGCCAAGCAGCCCAGTTCAGCATCAGTGGCTGGAAACAACAGCACCTCATACTCGGAGCCAGGACATCACAATTGGCACCATCACCATCCCCAGCCTCATCCAAGTGCTGCTGTCACCCCTCCTGCCTCTGAGGGATTTGGCCACAGATTCACAGAACAAAAGGAGCCAAAACCCTGGCATGACCCCAAGGAAAGTCCTTTTCCCCAAGAGTGCCATTCAATGATTTCACTAAGAGTCGGAGGTAACAGGAAGCAAGAACAAAGCTCACTTTCATGAGTGAGACCTCTACAAGACCTCTGTCTTACCTCAGCAGGTCTCTGGTAGCATTGGAGAACCGACCTGCCAAAGGAAAAGGGCTTTCCTTGAGCACCATCACCTCAACCAGTCACTCCCACAAGCAGGAGCTGTCCCTGGTCATGCTTGTGCCACAGGCTCCTTTGGTGCAGCAGTGACACAGCCTTGTCAGGGTCCCCAACATGAGAAATGGGGGATCTCTGGGGCCAACTCAATCCCCTTCTTTAAATTCTGTCAGGACTTCTCACCCTTGGATCTAGTTTATTGGGATACTGCACTAAAATAACAACCCAACCATATAGCACTAACCTCTGCACTAACTATAGCAACTAATATTCAGCAACAAACATCTGATGACTGAGGAGGCAAAAGCAAAGCCCTGCTTACCCCAGAGCTCCTTGCATGAGCTGACCCATCAGCAGTTCAGCGAGGCTGGGAGGAGAGTGGGGTGCAGGCACAGGGGTGCTGCCAGCTGAGGGAGAGGGCCAACCAAGCCATATGCTCTAAGGTCATCACAGAAATCAATGGGAAGTTAATGCAAAAAGGGAAACAAATCCTGAGCCAAGATCGATCCAGCAAGCATTTTATTATAGTTCAAACCCTTCAGCCACTCTCCCTTTGTGCCCTTTGGTCACAGGCGGCGATGACAAAGCATCTCCCTTGGCTGCTGTTGTAAAAACAAAAGAATGAATAAAAACTTGTGTGTTGGTGGAAGAGGCTGTGTCGTAAGGAATCACCGTCAGCCTGGGTGGCCGGCAGCCTCATCCCTCTGGATATCTCCATCAGCACCTGTCAGGGAGAAACGCTGCAGTCCAGGGAGACCAGGAGATGAGGCTGAGTAAAGATGCTCACTGGACTCTGCAGTGAGCCTGAAGGTGTCTGGTTGTCCCTCAGCACCCTGTGCTTGGGGATGCCAGGCCATTGGCAGGGCTACTTATGGGATGCCCCAGATGGAGCCCATGTCCTACCTGGCCTGAGCACCAGCTCCTTGCAAACATGCTCATTGCTGTTATTTATTCCATGTTGTTACTTCCCAGCTGAATCCTGCTTTCAAGAAATGACTTAGAGAGAGATGCTTTGTCAGCTGCTGGGCCAATCTCAGCTACATTGTGCATTTCCCCCCTTCTTAAGTCTGCCTATTAAAATTCTACTGAAAAAGGAGCTGACCCTTCTGGGAACACCAGCTTTTGGGTTTGCCCCAAGCCATTTCCTCCAAGTTAGGAATCATGGCAGCTCCAAGAAAGCAGCCGTGCTGCTCTGCATTCATCTGAACTGAGCTTCAAAAAGTCACAAAAGCTTTAATGCATCGTCAAGTCAGAGCCGTGCCAGAGATGGAATCGTCCATCAGCACTCTGAGCATCATTCTGCTGCAACGGGGAGGAAGACTCAAAGCTTTGCAATTATTTTTAGCTCTGTATGTAACAGCTTGTTCTTTCTGTCGTCTTAACAAGGGGGTGTTGAGTTCCTGCCCATTCCATGAAGTTTGTGCTTCAGAGCCCGAGACAACATGTTTGCAGGTAGAGCTCAAACTACTGTGAATCATCCCTCCAACTTAGAGTTGCACTCACCAGAAAAACAGCTTTTCTGTCAAAGTTGAGCTGGGTGCCCATGAAGCAGAAAACAAAAGGAGCTCCAGGGCAACTCACAAAGTAGGTTGACCCTGAAGGCATCAGGAATGTGAGATGGTGTGACAGTCATTTGTTTCTGGTATGTCCCTGAGCTACCAGGTGACTATTCCCCTTTCCCCACCTCTGCCAAACACAGGGGAAGAATGAAAATCTGTTTTTCCAAGCGAGTGATTTTTTTTTTTAATGAATCCTTGTATAGAACTTCTAATTGCATCATTAAAGAAAAAAAATTGAAGTCCAAGTGAGGAGGTGTGAAACCCCAGGGGATGACAGCACTGAGTAAAGCCAGAGATTTCAGAGCCTGAAGAAGCTGCCAGGGAAGGGATACCCAGGTACCCACACCACAGTGCTCAAGGGGCTCTTCACCTGCAGAGCTGCTCTGCTGAAAAGAGGGAAGGAGGAGGTGACTCTGCTTAAGCATCCAATGGGTCAGAATCTCCTGAAGTCAGGGTACACCTCATCCCAACCCCACTGCCCTGGCTGTTTAATTGCTTGTTGAGGTTGAGGGAGGCTGAAGGTCAGACGCTGGCAGCTGCCATGCCTTCAGCCTGGAAACCCGAGCCTGGCTTGATGGAGCTATGAGGTAAGGGGCTGGAGAGGGGAGCTGAAAGCTGAACATCCACTCACCATTACATCCATTAGCAAATGGATCAGTAGGTGAGGGACTGAGTGACCTTTTCCCATTTCTGCTCAGAAATGAGGCTATGGCAAGAAGGGCTTTGTAGGCTACAGGGGGTGAGAAACCTACAGCCTTTGCACAGGGAGCAAGGCAGCCCTGGGAACATCCCAATCTCCCCCCAGGCTATGCTCGGGGACAAACTAACCCAGGGAAACACAGCTTTAGCACAGGGCTTCAGAAGCAGAGCTATGATTTCCAGGGAAAGTACTGGAGCAGTCCCATTCACCAGGCAAAAGTAAGGTTATGTTTTAAGCTGGCTCAAGCACACCAGCTTGTATCTAGGTCAAGCTCATACAGATGATAAGCCTGGCTAGGACGTTTGGAGTTGCAAACGGGGCTTGTGCAGTGAATAGGAGGCAATTTTGAACAAGCATCTCCATCTCTTTGGGTGGAGATGGAGGCAAGGAAATATGGGAATGTTTCCTACTCTGGGAGGTTTTTTCCCCCCTGGTCCATGGACTTTGCAGTACATTAACAGGGCAGTGTGAAACCAAGACGGATATTTTGAAAGTTCCCTCTGAATGGGCGGGGGCAAAGGGACAGATGAGATTTGTACCACATCCAGCAGAAATGCAAATAAAATGAACTAAAACCCTGCAGCACAGATTCAGCATATCATGCAAAGGACTAAGGACTGAGCTACCAAAAAAAGAGAAATAATCATAGGGTTGGTGCTCCGGCACCAGAAACAATGCACAATCACCAGAGCCGGCAAGCAGCACAAGGACATTGGTGTCCTTCCCCTGTTCCCCACAAACTGCTCACGCTGCTGAATGGAAATCCACAGAGCTCATTTACAAAAGAGTAGTCACATACTCATTCTTTCAAAAGCTGAGCAATCTGGGGGTTTTTTGAAACACCAACTTGTCTCACTCAGCTCATTTGACCAGAGGAAGATGCTCCTACACTGTGACCACATGCACGGATCTCCTCTGCTGCTCCCAGCAGTGAACTGAAACTGTTCTGCAGGCGGGCTCCTGCACTCCCCCCTCACCCCAAAAAGCTCAGAAAATGTCCCCGCTTGGGATTATTTGACAGCAAAGTCACGGACAATGATGGAAGGTCAGGATCATGAACGGCATGAGTCTCACATTCCTTGTTCTGCTCTCAGAAACCCTCCCCGCACGGCTCTGAAGCTGCTGATGGATTTTAATCTTTGGCAGAGGGTCTCCCCGCCGATCAATCATTCCCACCACATCTCTCCGAGAAGTCAAACTCAATTACACCACGTCGG